CCCTCAGGACGCCGCCGGGCCCGAGGGACCCCTCAGGACGCCGCCGGGCCCGAGGGACCCCTCAGGACGCCGCCGGGCCCGAGGGACCCCCAGGACGCCGCCGGGCCCAGGAAATCCTTCAGGACGCCGCCGGGCCCGAGGAACCCCCAGGACGCCGCCAGGCCTGAGGAAAGGTGACCGGGAAACCGAGTCAGCGCAGGGTTAGGACTGCAGTGGAGAGGAAAGCAGCGCCCACAGCTGCTCAGACTTGTAAGAGGAGCTTTGCGGCCCAGGGCAGGGCGGTTCCGTGCTGAGAAGGGACAGTCCCTTAGACAGGGTGCTGTGCTTGGGTGACCTGTGCAGTTGTCGCGATGAGCAGGTAGCTTGGCGCCGACGCTCGCTTCCCCCAGAAGTGTCCCAGGCCCCTTGCCCTGTGGCTCCCTGCGAACCTTCTGGCAACCTTAACGGGGATTCACCAACCTCAGTGTGCTCAGCAGAAGGAAGAATCATAGGGACACGTTTGTCGTATACTTTACACAGAGCTCTTGAAGGCCCTGACCAGTGGAAACTCTTCATGGTCACTCTTGAGAGGGAGGCAGTATGGCCGGGGGCCCAGCAAGCCGGCCAGGGGGCATCAGGCACCTGAACCCCGTGGGTCCAGTGAGCGTCTGACTGCACTTCTGAGGCCGACTGTCTCCTGTGGAGCAACCGCGTGAACTACCCCTTGCCATTCACTCCTTGGGAGCCAACCCCCCCCCCCCCAGCTTGACTGTAGAATGGCGCCGTGACTGGCTTTTTGCAGAGAAGATACAGGAAAAGTGCACAGGCCTGAGCTCACTTCCAGCCTGAGCCTGGGGAAGCCCAGCGGGTCTGAGGAGCCCCGGGCCACCGTGGAGATGTTCTCCCTGCTGCGAAAAGCCTAACGGAGGGGCGTCGTGGAAAGGGAGGAACCTCAGCCTCCGTCTGACCCGCTGATGAAAGGCAGCCACACAATCATCATCAGTGAGACCACCAGAAGAACCGGCCCACTGATCCCAGCCGAGTGCAGCCTGGTGAGCAAACAAAAGGGTAGTGGTTTGCAGCCACTAACCTGTGCGGCAGTTCATCACGGAAACATCCAGACCGTTCCCTTGACTCTTATTTCCTCAGGATGATTGGTCATCCCCGTTTGCATGGGAATGAGGGTGATTCCAGGAGACAGGACTTCTGGTTGTAAAGCCCAGAAATTCCTGGGTAAACCTGGATGAACGGGTCACCTTACTTCCAACATCCAAAGCAAACAGGAGTTTCCTTCAGAGGGAAGTAAAGAGAAAATCCCTCTCTTGGTCAGCTCTCAGTAGAAACTAAAGACTGCCCAGGGGCGCCTGGGTGCCTCAGTAGGTTAAGCGTCACTTTGGCTCAGGTCATGATCTCAGGGTTTGTGGGTTTGAGCCTGGCATCTGGCTCTGTGCTGACAGCTTCTGTGTCTCCCCTCTCTCTGCCCCTCCCCAGCTGGCTCGTTCACTCTCTCTCAAAAACAAACAAGCAAACAAACATTAAAAAAGAAAAGGAAAGGAAAGTCTGCCCAGAAGACAGAAATTGAGTCAGGTCTCTAAAACAGGGGGCTTCAGAACCTTAGCTGTACCCTGGGATCTTGTCATGAAGATACCAGCCTCAGAATGCTGGAATGCACCAGAATGTTCTGGAGCATATCAGTCCATGGGCACTTTATACTATGAGCCCCAAATCCCCCTCTGCTCCCATGCCGGGCCTGGCTATAGCCTTACTTGCAGATGTTACTGCAGCAGTAAAAACCAAGCAGGTTTACTTTTCGTCTGCTTGCTGAGGGCCCACGCCCTCCAGGGTCCCACTGCACCAGGCTTCGTCTCTCCTTGCAATCATCCCCCCACCAATTTTTGGGACACAGCAAATATCTTTTTAACTAAAATGGCAAATGGCTAGCTTTTCCCGCCATTCAGATGCCCAGATCTAGTTCTGGAATATGGGTGGAAAGGGGTGGAGAGTCATTTCTTGATTAGTTCTCTTTGGAATATGTGCTGAGCGTGTTACACAGCTGTTCTGCACAAATTTATCAAATTAGTTCACTCCAGCTGAGAGAGAAAACCGTATCCATTTTCAGATTGCTCTGAAGGTCATTCTAGCCAGTCTAGGATGGTGATGAAGTTCTTTAGCTGCTGCTTAGTAGGTGCTTTGGAAATATTGGTTGAAAAAACATGCCTGGCTACACGAGACTAGATAGTGGGCGTCCATCCTCAGGTGTTTCTTCTCATTCTGCAATAATGTTCCTGGAACGGTGGTGTGTGGGAGAGGCACCCAAATATGATGATTTTTAAATACTGTTATGCTATACAATGACATAACAGCGGGGAGGGGCAGAGAGAGGGGAGACACAGAATCTGAAATAGGCTCCAGACTCTGAGCTGTCTGCACAGAGCCCAACGTGGGACTTGAACCCAGGAACCGTGAGATCATGACCTGAGCTGAGGTTGCAAGCTCAACCGACGGAGCCACCCAGGTGCCTCTGGGCAGTCTTTTCTACTGCTGACCAAGAGAGGGGTTTTTAAATACTGATAGGCCAGTTGAGGCTTTTTCATACCAAATCTCCTGCAGGACCCAGATATATTCATCAGATGGACCCTTCTCTGGTCCTGGAGGGTGTGGCGTGCCCAGAGCCGCACGCATTAGGCTACCCCGTCATCCCCTGCATCTGTCTCTGAGGAAGACCTTCAGCGCTGCAGACTTCCCTGCACACAGCGGCAGCACACAGCATCTGTGGTCTCAGAGGCACCTTCCCCTCCAGAGTTATAGGAGCCATGCTTTTGCATCCATTTCCTTCAACACCAACACCCCTGGGCCCACCTACCAGCATTCCGTGCTTGCCTGTGTTCTTCCTCCTAGTGACCCCCACATTTTTCTCCTCAGTCAGTCAAGGAAAACTGGGGCTCCTGCAGTTCCATATAGATTTCACTCTTAATGAGGAATAACCCCAGTTCTTCCCGGCGTTGAGGACAAGCTTAGGTGTCAAGTTGAGGTTAACATTTGTTCAGGTGAGGTTCACAGACAGTATCGTGACTCCCACTCCAGATCTTCTTCCAGTCAAGGAGGAATTCCTGACTTTTTTTTTTTTTTTTTTTGAGAGAGAAGGAGAGAGAACGTGCAGGTGTACGCAGGGGAGGGACAGGGAGAGAGAGGGAGAGAGACAACCTTAATCAGGCTCCATGCTCAGCTTGGAGCCCGGCACAGGGCTCCATCTTGTGACTTTGATATCATGACCTGAGCCCAAATCAAAAGTCAAATGCTTAACGAACTGCGCCACGCAGGAGCCCCTTCCTGAATTAGTTTTAACTTACGGTTTACCTTCTTTCTTCCTAAGTTGAACTTCAGACTGGTTGATAAATAAATAAATGTGAATTATGATAGCTTCTGATAATTT